AACAATAGATATATAGCTATTTTCCATTGTAAAATTGTAATTTTTCATTTCATTCGTTTTCTATAATAACTTATAATTTAATATTAAAATTCACCCGTGCTTAACTAATTTCTAATGACCTCAAAATTAATAAAAAAATAGAGGTTTTGGTTACGTGGCAATTTTTCTTCTAACACATTATAGAGAACAAAAAATAAATCAATTTATAGGTAGGATATGGAAGTTGTAGCTTTGCTTTTGAGATACAACTTATTATTTTCAGAATCATTACGATAATTGGAAATTCAAAGTGATCAGTGATCCGTTGGGGGCGAAATGTGAGAAAATAAATAAATACAAGTAAAGTGTATTTAAGTTTTCGTGCGTTGATTTATTAATACACAACGTTTCGCTGACAATATGCGTCAGCCTCATCAGGCGCAGGTACGCGAGAATTCGTAAGTTTGGTTGACTTACTCGTCACCTGTCGTACCCGAATAGTCGCACTGGCCAGGAATCGAACCACAGGTGTTATACATATTTAATATTTTACGTTCGTTTCTGTACATAGATATACACATATGAAAAATAGAAATAGAATAAATAGATCAAGCGATGTTTTGTGTCAGACATCATTTACCTGACAGTACCTTAGCTGTAACACAGGTCCAGTTTAGCCCATACTACAGCCACGTTACGATTTCCACCACGCAGCAGTAGGTATACCTACTTTATACATTAGATACCATAGAGTACATATAAAGTACTATTAAGAGAGAAGCTACATGCGAGAGGGAGGAAGAGTGAGGAAGAGAGACAGACAAACAGATCCCCTGCCTGTAACGCAGTCAGCGCTATATTCACTCCAAGGGTTAACTGATATGGATAGGTCATGTGGTACCCCCCTTCCAAAAGTAAGGATGCTTTAGCATAAGGTATTTTCACTTCTAACGTCATCATAGAAAATGGCGAGGGCTGGGAGATAAAGTCTGAATTCACACGATAAGTTTAATCGTGACTATAAAATTTATTGACATATTTCAGTTACTCGATTTGATTACAAAAACCTCACCTTTTCACGAGCTTTCGAATGGGTATCAGATATACGGCATTTTTTAAATTATTAATAAGTGAAATCGATAAATAAATTTGTCACGGGCAAAAAGTAAAGACAGAAAACATTTTTTTTAAACCCTTTACAAGCATCTAATCGCACCTGTTTTGCAATATAGCAACAATTGATATTTGATTATTAATTAAAAATTTTTACTGCATGACATAACATCACGTAAATAGCCTAAAACTCAGCTCAACTGAAAAGTGTGGATTGTTTGGTTAAAGTGCGAGTTACTTCTATACCTATATATACAGTCTCATGTAATGCTCTACCCAGTACCCCAGGCAGCGAGACTGTGTATATAGGTATAGGAGTAACTCGCACTCTAACCAAACAATCCACATTTTTCAATTGAGCTCAGTTTTAGGCTATTTAAGTGATGTGATGTCATGCCGTAAAAATTTGTAATTAATAATCAAATATCGATTGTTGCTGTACTTCAAAACAGGTGCGATTGGATGCTTGTAAAGGGTTTAAAAAAATGTTTTCCGGCTTTACTTTTTGCCCGCGACAACTTTATTTATCGATTTCACTTATTTATAATGAAAAAATGCCGTATATCTGATACCCATTCGATAGCTCGTGAAAAGAAGAAGTTTTTGTAATCAAATCGAGTAACTGGAATATCTCAATAAATTTTATAGTCGCGATTAAACTTATTGTGTGAATTCAAACTTTGTCCCCCAGCCCTCGCCATTTCGCATGATGACGTCAGAAGTGAAAATACCTTATACTTCAATCCAGTTACTGGGCAAGCAAGCATCAACGATAAGTAAATTACCAATTCCACAGTATTGTTAGATTAAAAATTAATTATTCGTAACAGCGATCATTTGAAATAAGTAACTAAACCGTATTTCAGTTTTGTTAAGCAAAAAAAATTAATTATTATGTTAGTACAAATCAGAAAAAGTAAACTATCTGTTTTCCATTATTAAATTTCAGTTAAATATTTATTACTACTCAAACTAATTAATTGTTTTATCAACACATAAAAAAGTAGGATACTTATCGATGTAGCTTAATTTCTTAACAATAGACGTGCATAAGATTTTTAATAGTAACATTATGATAATAACTTGACTATAGAAAACCATAGAATATGTTGCTTTTCGAAGAGGCAGCAAATAAGCTAAAACCAACTACTTCTGTTAGTTTTCAAATGAGGTAAATGGAATTAAGGTGCACAAATATAGAAGTGTTTCCCAATACAAAAGCCTAAACTCAAATATTTTGTGTTTTGTCAGTAAGTGCCCCGGGTCATAGTGATAGGTGCTTGTATTATTAATTTTTATTTATTTAATTCTCAAAGTGGCTAGTAAACGCCCCAG